TCTCTACTAAAAATACAAAAAATTAGTCGGGCGTGGTGGCAGACACCTGCAATCTCAGCTACTTGGGAGACTGAGGCAGGAGGATCACTTGAACCTGGGAAACGGAGGTTGTCGTGAGCCGAGATTATGCCATGGCACTCCAGCTTGGGCAACAAGAGCAAAACTCCATCTCAAAAAAAATGTGTTTTAACATATTTTTAAACAATTAGAAGTTACTTCACATCAGATAGGAAAAAAATTGGATAAACCAAAAGAAAAAATGTCCATATATATGGCTACTATTTCAGGTGGAAGATTGAAGTTTATGAGAAGGAAGGATTTGTGGAAGTAAGATAATTAACAGAGGTTATCTATGGTGGTGGCTATAGTATAGATTTTTTTACTACATTTATAGACGCACAGTATATTGGTTAGAAGTATTTTACTTTTGTAGTATGAAGAAACAGTTGGATTATAAAGTAAAAATAATTGGAGACTAACAAAAATATAAATTAACATATTTGTAGAGGCTTTTCCAAACTGTTCCTATTCTCTAAAAGTTTACTTTTGAATAAAATGGTAGAAAAACAATTTTTTTGTTTTTGCTATTATTTTGTTTTATTGGATTCTAGAAGAGAAAACAGATGCAGGGAAAGGTCAGTGACATATAATCATTAGTTGTATTTTATATATGTAACATTGAAGAATGGTTATCATCATGCTGCTTCAATTAAGCTTTTTCTGTATTGCTTTCAGGCACTGTTTAAAAAGAAAGACCTCATTTGTAATATTCACTCTGCCAAGGGTGTCTAAGGGAGAGAAAACAGTTATGGGTTCTTAGCTCTTTTCTGCTTATCACTAGAGACAGAAACTAAAAACCATAGCTTTAGGCTGCTAAAAGCCTAAAACCAAACAAAACAGAACAATAACAAAATAAGGCTGGTTGGACAAGCTTGCATCAATACATTCATGCAACCAATACTAAGAGGGCTACCGTCTGTTCAGCACTGGTGCCAGGCCCTGGAGATAAAAAGTCATATAGGCCACCAACCTTTTCTCGAATCTGAAAAGTATAGAAAGGAAATCTAGTCTAGAAAATAAAACAGAAAAGTTAACCTAAAGTGTGGTAAGGGTTATGGTATTCATATACATAGGAGTATCAAATAAACCAACCCTCCAAAGAATCCTAAAGGAAGTGATACCTAGATTGACTTTTAAAGAATATGTAACAATTATTGGCCTTTAGGGAACAGGAGCAGTTGTTTAGTGGTTTTACATTGTAAAAATAAAGGTAAGGTATGATGTCAGATGGGAAAGGCAAGGACCAACCTTAGAGTGCCTTGTATGTCATGGAAAAGGAACTCGAACTTTACCATATGGTTTTGGGAAACCATTATAGGTTTAACTCTGAAGATTGTATAGAGGAGGGATTTAGAGGGGGATAAAACTCGAGGTAAACCAGCTGTGAGGAAGTGGCAGTAATCCAGGCATTGAACCTGGGCGTTAGGAGGGATGGAGAAGATTGCAGTGGAGAGCTGTATGAGACTGGTGCAGGACTTGTGCAAATTGTCAAAACCCCTGCTTCCTGATCGCTAATCCTTTTCCTCATTTTTGTTAGCAACAAACATGACCTTCAGTGGAGATATTTGTATACCAAAAGAAATTATCTATTTTTTTCTCCAACCGGTTGTTGATGCCATGAATTTCTATAAGAAAAGACTGGATAGGTCTTTCAAATTTGTTGTAACACAATTTGACCTCTTTATTATTATTATTTTATTATTTTTTTAAGGCAGAATCTCCCTCTGTCAGCCAGGCTGGAGGTGGCATGACCTCTGCTCACTGCAACCTCTTGTGTTCCCCCGGGCTTAAGCAATTCTGCCTGAGCCTCCTGAGTAGCTGGGATTACAGGCATGAGCCACCATGCCTGGCTAATTTTTTAAATTTTTTGTAGAGACGGAGTTTCACCATGTTTGCCAGGCTGGTCTTGAACTCCCGACCTCAGGTAATCTGCCCACCTTGACCTCCCAAAGTGCTGGGATTACAGGGGTGAGCCACCGCGCCCAGCCAATTTGACCTTTAGTAGAGGTTTATGTCAATGGAAAGGAGGGTATAAGCTTTGGACTGATATACAGGATTCAAATCCTGGCTCTATCACTTACTAGCTGTGTGATCTTGGACTAGTTATTTAAGCTCTCTGAGCTTGTTTTCTTGTCTGTAGGGCTTAGTGGTGATGAGTTAATGAAACTATGTGAAGAGCCTGCTCAGAGCTTAGTAGATAATAGGGACTTACATGGTATTTCCCTTAAAGCAATAGAACAGTGGAGCCATATTGCTTTGAAGGGGGTGAAAATTTGTTCTTGGGGGAGAAAGGGTGAAAAAATCTTGCTCATTAATATATAAAACTACGATGTATATGCAGTACATAAACAGATATAAAGTATATCTGTGTAATTCAAATATCATGAGGGCATGGAGAGGACTAGGAAAATAATGTTTATAAAGGCTCCTTTTGGGGAGATAATAAAAATAAGGTTGAGAAACACTGCAGTAGAGTAAGTGATTTACCTGCTTAAATTAGGAATAACTAGGTTTGTAAAGTAATAAGAGATGTGATTTTTCTTATTAATCAGTTGGTCAGTTCTGAGGAGTTCACCATTTTGGCACCAATTCAGAATCTTGTGGTTTTTGTTTGTTTGGACTAGTCAAGTGCAGGTAGTGAGAAGGGGGGAAATGGTAGAACAAGGAGTTCCAACTGTAACTAAACAGTCAGTTGAGATAACTCACTACCTTCAGACCAGCCCTGTTTAAATTCTTACCAAAAAAATTAAATACTGCCATATCTTTTTTTGATATATCTTCCAAATAAATGCTATCCTAGAATATTTTAGAAAATATTAAGTATGTTTAGGACAACATTGACAATAACTAAATGAAAGGCTATCATCATAGAAATAATTTATCCAAGTGAGATTTAATAATAAGTTCAGCAATTACTAGGGGTTATTAATATATTTCTTTATTTGTGGACTCTTATTAATATTTAGAATTTTAAATGTCTGTGTGTCCACCCTTAAATCTAGCTGTTCTAGAAGTACTGCATCATTAGTAGTGTTTGAAGTAAATGTTTTGGTTAACTGAAACTTTAAATACCAAGTCTTCTAAAACTTACCTACTTTAAGCTGGTATGCTGAAGATAAGTTTAGCCACTGCCACACAAAGTCATATTCTGTTTATGAATGTGGGGCAGGATTAGAACTCAGATATGTTGTAAATACATAGTGATTAATTAGCACTGTCACAACTTTTCAGAGCTCAGGTCCAACAGTATAATCTTCAAGTAGGGAATTCAAAAGTTAACATTTTTGTTAAAATTTAAAACTTTCTGATCATAAAAGTCATACATTAGCAGATTAGAGCATAAACTTTAAAGAAGCAAATAAAAACAGCTATAGTAACTGTTAT